CAAAGAAAATGTGGACAGAATATAAGAAAATAAAAGAACTTCCCCATATTACTGTGTGCAAATGATCCAAAAGGAAAAGCAACAGAATATATAATAATTATGTGCAATCACAACATTAGGAGGACGTAGCTATCAACAGCTGAATATTCAGCAGTGGCTGACAGCCTGCAATCTCTGTGCCTCAAAACCCACACAAGGATTTTGGAGAGAAACAGAGGTTTTCAGATTAGATTAAAGGGCTATGAATATGGAACAGGTGATGTCTTGAAAATTGGTTATTGTAATTAATCCTTTTTTGTTATGGACATTCATGACTTCACTGCAGTTTGGGTATACTGTGCCGTCCTTGATCCCAGTATACAATGCAGCCATCCACCCACATTCATGCATTGCAGCTTTTGATCTCTGGCATCTCCACTAGCAAGGCTGGAACAGACCTTTGCCAGAGACAGTTGCTGGCAGAGAAGTCAATACTAGGTTAAAATGGCCTGCTGACTTGCCTCTAAATAAAGTGATTCCTTGCTGCTTTGTATTTCAGGTACTTTGAGGGTCTATAAACCAAAGAGCACATAGGTTGATTTTGACTGAACATAAAGAAGACAAATTTGAAAAAGAAAGAAAAGATTTTGCTACCCCCCCCTTTTTTTTCAAGAACAGAAAACTTTGCACTCAGCATAATGAGAAATGGGGTGGGGGGACGGGACCAGAGCAATGAATGTAAACTGCAAGGAAGCAAAGTTGATAATTTCAGACGACAGGCACAAACCTAGATTTTAGAAGCTGCAAAGAATATAATAAAAAAATGGGTGTACTTATATATACTTGTGACAGTCAAATCAAGTGACTGAGAGGTGTTCTCAGCTTACAAAAGCCTATGTCCCACATCTTTGCTGAACCACAAAAACATCTATGCACCAAAGCAGAAGAAAGAAATGGACTTTAAGTGCTTTGTCAGACACTGCACATTGGTATGGAGGAGAGACTGAGAGGGATCCTCCTATGAAGGTATCATAGATATTGCTGGAAGGAACCTTGGAGGTCATCTGGTCCAAACTTTGCTCAATGCAGCATCCCTGACAGATGGCTGTCTAGCCTCTGCTTACAATATCTGCAGCAAACAAGAGCCCAACACCTCCCAAGGCAGTCTGTTCTACTGTGAAATATCTGCTTACTATTAAGATGTTTCTCCTAACGTTCCGTTGAAATCTGTTTCCTTGCAATTTCCACCCGTTGGTACAAATTGTGCTCTCTGGAGCAATGGAGAACAATCTTCAGTAAAACAGACCTTCAGATATTTGAAGAGCCCTATCCTGTCCCGTCCCCCCCATAAAATTTGCTCATCCAGGGCAAAACAAGCAAATATTACTCATGGGAATTGGGTTTCCAGATCTCCTCACCATCCTGGTCACTCTTCTCTGCACATACAAAAAAGATTCCTGCATTGTAAGGGGTTTGGACTTGATGACCCTCGGGGTGCCTTCCAACTCTGCAATTCTATGGTTCTACTCCAGTTTGTCAATATCCTCCTTAAAATGTGTCTTGCAGAACTGGACACAATATTCAAGATGCAATGCTGAACAGAAGAGAAGTATTACTTCGTGATCTAGACCCTGTGCTTCTGTTAACGCTAGATTGCATTAGCCTTTTAAATCAGCAACATCACAATGCTGGCTCATGTACAGCTAAGACCAATTTACTGCTCCAAAGCCAGGTCTCCCGCATCCTGGACCTGGACTTTTTGAATCTTGATTCTGTCTCCTACAATGCTAGCTATATTTCCCAGTTTCTTGTCCACTGAAGATTTGATAAACATCCCCTCTACGTCCTCATCCAAGTCATTTATAAAAATGTTAAACAGCACAGGACATAGGGCAGAGCCCTGTGGCACTCTGCTCGCTTTTATTTTTTGGCTTTTGCCATTTGTTTCTTAACGTCTACAGCAGCTTCTGCATATGTTTTGTTTACTCCTATATATCCACATCCTGGAGAGAGGGTCATGGTTCAACGGCAGAGCACAAGCTTCGGCTGCAGAAAGCACCAGACTCAACCCCTGAGATTTAACTACAAATGTCACGTGCCAAGCTGGGAATAATAGCTTTTGCCCAAAACGCTGGAGAGCCACTGCCAGTCTAAGTAGCTGATATTGGTCCATACAGGCCAATTGTTAGATTCAATATATGACAGTTTCATATGTATCTCATTTAAGAATGTCTGGACATGACCATAAGGATGCACAGATTCAGAGCTTAAATGAAACTTTGCAGATGTGCATAAAAGCAAATGTTGATTCAAACCTTGTGCACAAACGGCCAAAAGTTCTCACTAAGGCCAACAAGTAGCGCAGCTCTGGCTTCAGCTTACTGAAAACAGCATGTGCTAGTTTTGAAATAGCATGTGCTGGTTTTGAGCACGCTCACTTGAAGCCAATCATGGCGAACTTCAAGGTGGAAGAGGATAATGAGAGAATGAATTGGAATGTTGCCAGAATATTGCCTGGCTACCAGCCAGATTCAGACGACAGCTAGAAAAGCTCATGGATTGCAGTGGCTCAGAGGAACTGTTAGGTGAGAAACTGTTCTACAGGATCAGTGATCTGGTGCCCTACCCAATCCAATCTTGCAGCACAAGCAAAACGTGAGCACAGGAACAGGCACAAGGCTGGCAGTTCAGAAGAAGCTGGACTGGTTGAGGGCAAGCACAGGAGGGTCCAAAACGCCCAGCCAGAGGTTGCCTCCAGTCCGTCAGTTAACTATTTAGATCTATCAGCCTGACTAAGCCAGGGGAATCCTGATTAAGTCAAGTCCTGCACAGGACTTTGGAAGGGACTTATATTTACTGAGAAGCTTTATGGAATCGATCCTCAACATCAAGCAGCAAAAGGGACTGCAGTGAACAGCTGATGAGAGATGCTGCTCTGCTACCAGAATGTGCGCCCTGCAGTTGTTCATATGCCTAGTTGTTTTGCCTACATCCACAATGTAATATCGGAAAATATATCTCAAATCAATTTCTTGAGCCACTTCTTTCAGCTTAACAGTTTTTTATATATATATATATCATTTATAGTTCATTTATTGTACTTAGAAACGCACCCTGCTACATGAACATGACTGACAGCGTCAGCTTTCAAGGGGTGTGATAAGGGTGGAAGGATGTAGAGGGGAATCAGCCAACCACAAAATATATTATCATCTCAGCCAGCCGTCCTCAAATGGCCATTTTCACCTATAGAACAATAAAATGCTAATGAGCAGCTGGGTTTAAGTTTGAGAAACGAGGAGGCGAAAATGGAACGTAACAATGAGCTGTTGAACAGTTAAATGCTATCTGGGGGCACTCTTTTTAGAAACTAAAAGCATCTAACAATAATGCACTACATTCCCAGGGAGTCTATCCTCGTTCAGGAGGAGTCCAAAGATGTATGAATAAAGCTGACAGCAATCTACGGGAAGAGGTTAACCAATTGCTCCGAACCAAAATGCACAAGGAACCAGAAGGGATTCCCCTTGCCCCATGGGATCTATGCAAGCTAGCCAAGAGCATTCTGGCATGAACCACCTCTATTATATAGCCTATGATTTGGCACCAGTAAAATTGCAAACAACATTATTATGATTATACCTGAGGAAGCACAGCAGTCAGACAGCGGTGCTTTCTCTGCACAAAATATTAATCTCTGGCCACAGAGAAGGAGCTCAATGGACAGCACAATAAATCACACACTTGGTTTTTCTTTTGGTTTATTCTGTAGTAAATCCACATTGTGCATTTAAGCACAAATGCTTCATGCCTGAAAATATTCCACTGATTTGTGGACAGAGAACCTGGCTCAAGAGTGCTGTAGGAATTCACAGATGTTATTTATGCATTAATCCTTTTAATCCTTGTAAATGTGTTTATTTTTAGTAATCTCATTTGGAAAAGAGCACTAAGAATGTGCACTGAAGTTCCATTGAGAACAATAAGAAAAAGCAAACCCTGGGACCAACTCCATTTCCAGCCTACTACAATTCAGTCCTTCTTGCAATTATATTGAAAACTCTGAAGGATAACCACAAGGCTGCTTTAATTAAAACTGTAAATAAATTGCAGGTGATCCTGATAAACTACCAAAGGAGCTTCAGTGACACCAACGTGTGCATTAAAGTCGGGAGATCAAGCTGAAAAATAACCTGCACGTCAAGCAGTCTGATCAATATAATAATTGCTTCAGGCTGGAACAAAATTACAATTCCTGGTTAAAGACAGATAAGTACTACAGCAGGTGACATTGCTGCATATCGTGTCATGAAGCGAAGTCTACAAGACACCTCAGAATGCTCTGTCAAAGCACTACAAGGATGGTAAACATCTGAATTTATAAGAAAACGTACTGAAACACAAAATGCACCATAAAGACACCTGATCAATGTAGCAATAGCTTCAGTTTGCATAGATTCATGGTACAGGAGAAGAGTAATTAGTATTGCATTTTGTACACGACAGCATTGCTATGTGTGCAATAGGTAAGCTATTAATTCAAAGAAGTTGGTATTAAACAACTAGCTGCTGAGTACATTACAAAAATAACTGTGGACGTATCTGCCTAGCAGCTATAAACCTCAGTTTACTACCTCATGCGTGTCACCTCCTGCATAACACACACCCTTCTTTCAGTTCCTTGTATTTGATAAATCAAGATGCAAGTGAGCTACTGAAAAGGATAAAGGGGAGGGGGCAATCATTTCTTAAAAGTAACTTTCTTTCCCAGGTTTGATCTCCTTTTGCCCAAACCTGATGACACACTAGCTTAAAATGATCAAATATAAATTTAAACACAATGCACATGAAACAGTAACATCTTACATACTGTAAATTATAATCACTTGAAGTGAAAACGCTGGCAAGGAAACATCATACTGAATACTTGCACATGGCTGAATACTTGCACTATGTGTGCCAGCAGCATCAGAGGGTGCAGACAGCTGCTTTTCAGTAGACGGTACAGGGTTGCAGTTTACCTGTTTCTTTGTCCTGCACTTCCTCCAGGTGCAAGTCGTTCAGGAGGTGCTCCAAAATCTTTTCTGGTGTCCCGGATACCACCACGTATCTGTCAGAAAGCAGAGAGTCCACAGAGTCATCCTCCGTTGAGGACTGCGAGCGGCTGCTCCATTCATCCTCCTCATCCTCCTCATCAATGTATTTAAAATAAGGCACATCAAACGTGGGCAGAGGCAGCTCCCTGCCTAGAGACAGAGCAGAATCCTTCCTCTCTATGTGCGGGTCAAAGATCCTCAGCCTGGAACTTCCCATACTGCAGGGCAAAAACAACAAAGGTATTCCCCCTACATACTGCTCTGTCTTTCCCCTTCAGTTCTGCTGCCAGCAACCGAGTTCATCTGGCTGCTGAAGGGAGCTCTGCAGTCAGCTTGTGAGCGCGGCTGTGTCTGAGCACCCAAGGAAAAAACTCTTACCTCCAATCACTCTCGGCACTCCCTGATGTGGGGGCTGGGCTATGTGACGACACTTTCCTAAGCACCAGCACATCTTGGTCCAGTTCCTTCACTTGAATAGTAGTCACTTCATCATCCAGCTTTAATTTGGAGAGGGGCACAAATGACAAAGAGAGAGAGAAATGAGTGAAATCTCCAGGGACTGACAAAAGGAAGGTGGGGGAAGCCTTGATTAGAGCTACATTTTCTCTCTCCCTCTCTCTCTCAGTGCCGCGGTTTGCAGCAGTCACTGCCCTTGATTTACATTCTGAAAATTCACAATGCACCAGAATTTTAGCAGAGCTTCCCTTTCCCAGAGGCACAGAGAGTGTACATCTATGCTTTAACTGCAAAATACAATATTCAAGCGCATAAATGAAGCGGGTGGTTAATAACAAGAAAGGAATTTTAGTATCTTTACCAGTTTCCAGTTTGTTTCAATGGGCTGCTGTTCACTGTTACTGAGCATTTCCGCTTAATGCATGTTATGTTTTACTGATGTGGCCAACGACTAAACAAATAAAATTAAACTGCCAAGGCAGTTTACAGTCATAAAAAACATACTTTACAGCATTTCAACAAGGGTGCAGCTGCTACAGAGACAAAATATACAGTCTGATGAAGCTACTTTCATTCTTTGGGACAGACAATGAAGCCAGTCGGAAATCCCCCCGCCCCACGATATTGTTTCCTGCACTTAAAACTCACAACTTCAATAATTAACTTTTGGAAACAAAAACTTCTAAAGGTTTTGGACAAGATGTGCAAACAGATGACCATGATCCTATGCAAAGCTATATCTGGGTTTCACAGATGACCCTGATGACTTTTTCCACCTTAGGTCCTCTAAATGTGAAGGTTTGAGCATGCTATTGCTGCATATATAGCATATTTACACAAAATGGGTGATGATACAGCGCCTAATAAGGCTTTGGTATTGACTGAATAGTCTATAAAGAAACATATTGATGGATGAAAGGCTCCCATTAGTTCCTTCTGAGAGCTTCCGAGAAACCCCCCAGTGTAGCAAGAGGCTCAGCAAAAGCCATAGTCTAATTATATTTTAATTCAGTCCAATGTTAACAGTAATGTGGCTTACAGTGATACTGTTTAATATGCAGGAATATTATTTGTACGTCCTGAAAGAATACAAACATTGGATAGTATCAAACTGGCATTCTAAAATTAAAATGGCCCTTTGCAAGAGAAGATTTATGTTAGATGGGGAACATTACAATGCAATGTCATTTGATGGTTAACCTTTTTCTTCTCCATTATATCTTAATGGCATGAAGGAATTCAGAAACTAATGAATAGTAGAATCATGCTCTGTTAGACACTGGAGGAACCTGCACACACAAAAATGGTCTTACCCCAAAGAGCTGTAAATTCAGGAACATCTTTTCTACTGATTTCTCTCTCCCTTACACACACACACACACACACACACACACACACTGCAATTATTAGATTTTTGCCATGTCAGACATACAGGTACTGAGGTAATTAACATAGGGTATTTGTTGAAAAATTCCCTGGGGACATTAGCAAGACATCATGTTGCAGGAATACTGAAGCATAATTGCACTTTCATTTCATGGTATATGCTTTTGTTGCCTACAATTTATAACACAGCCATAAAATAATGAGATAAGAGTAGACCATAACCTAAAAATATTGCGTTAAAAAGAAGTCCCAGCACACAGATTTCAATTCATTTTTTTAAGTATTCAGATGCTCATAGGCACTGAACTATACCTGCAAAAATAGGCATTCAATAGCACTCCTCTCACATATAAGCTACTGCATCTCCAGTTAAAAACAAAAACTATGTAAATAATGAAGATCATTTAAACTGATGGTTAACTTCATTTTCACTACTGGAACTTTATTCTATGCCATTTATTCCTCCACTCTATAAAAACAAAGTAAATGAGTAAGGAATTCTGAGGTCTCTATTGTTTTATTTATCTCTATGCACCACTTTGTGAGGACTTGGTCCTGAAAAGCAACTAATAAATAATTAGAACAAAAAAAACACACAAAAAAACAGTCAGTACTGGTTGGGATACAAACCGCCACATGCATAGATAAAGGTTCTTCAGCTCCCACCTTTTGTCTTTTCAAAAGTCCACTAATAGTTGGGGTCCTCAGGTGGTATGACACAATTTTGTCAGAAGGAAAATATTGGCAACTCTCCCCTCCCAAGTTTTCCTGTGTGCACACATAAGTGATTGGCACTTGCTTCCTTTTATCAGGAAAAAAAACAAATTTTCTTCATGAGAGCCACCATAAACAATGGTCCCTTACCCAGTCTCTGGGTGGGCGGCAGTTGCGGCCCTTCACGGCAGGCCTCAGCTCCACAGAGCAAAGGCTCCCCCATCATGTGGCCGGCAGTTGGGGAAGTCCCCCAGCCAGTGGCAAAGCAGGACGGAATAGCCCGCCATGCACTGGCTTTTAAATTGGCCAATCAGGTGGCTAGAGGACCAGGCTATGAAGGCTGGCTGCACCTGGCTTTTGGCAGTGGCCTCAGAGGGCCACCTAGGTAGACCACATCTTGAGGAGGTCCTATAATCCCAGGCATGACACTTTAAGTGTTAGCCCCCCAACTGGAAGCTGAGAATGAACATATACCCAATGCCTGAACCAAAGCCTACCTACAACTGTAATCAATAAAAGTTGCGGACAATTTTAAACCCCGGGATGTTGTCTTATGCAGTTTGGTACACCTTACATTGTCTAGTCCTTTGCTCCCTGGGGCGGGGGTCACTGCGAGTGGGTCCACAATTCAGCCAGAGTTCATGTTCAGGTCAATGGGAATGTTATGTGCATGAGTCAGCCAAAGTTAAGCACTAAGTGGGACTTAGAAGTGCATAGCTCAGGCTGGATCACGTCCAGTATAAATGTTGATGCCCCTAAATGAAATGAACTAACCAGGACCCTTTACAGAGCAAGTTTTAACGTGCAGGTCTCTTTTGATTAACTGGATATATGACTCAGTTATCTTGAGCATAAAGCTTATTCAAGAATAAACTACAGCAGATACATGCTATTTATTCTGCTTACACTTGCCAGTTAGAATACTTTCCTTCCCTGCTATATAAAAGTATGCAGGACAGTTTCAGAGAAAATCTGACCCTGCCAATTTAAGTACCAGCAAAAACAAAAGAGAGATAAAAGACCGATTCAAATGACTGTGTTAACTAAATAAGGTATTCAAACTACACAAGTCTATACACTGACTTTCTGAATCATGTACAGTGACTTTAAAATACAAAAGGGAGCTCTTTGTATTAGGAGGCAGCGGAGCAAAATGTTTTGGTTTTTTTGGTTTTTTTAAAAAAGGCTACAAGTTAAATCCATTAACAAAAGCAATACCTTTATTATAAGGCCATGCAGAGCAGGAAACTTGTTTTCACAGCTGCATCTGCTGAAACTGACACAGCAAAAGTAGATAGTGCTGATGCATCTAACGCTTGTCTACTCTTCCACCTTCTCACAATCTGATGCTGGTACCAGGGCATGACCTTGAGTGATAAGGCAAAGGTACATTGCGGGGACTCAACCAGCAGCTTTTGAAGGTACCAGTAGCACTGAGGGCTCCTTTCAAAAGGCAACATATTCAGAAGTCAGATGCTAGTGATCCTACATTTCTATTCATACATGTGGAATTAAACCTCTCTCTCTGGTTTTGTCATTCAGGCATAGTATTGGAAATGGCTTGAAAACTCTTTCATCCAACTCTGTGCGCTGTGGTAACAATCGGAAAATTGTGGGGGGGGGGGGAGAGTTTCTTTAAGGACATCTGCATATAGTTCTATGTCAAATCTTCAAAATGCAATGGTTTCCAAAGGACAGTTTGCACATTTGGATGCAAGTAAGGTATTACGTGAGGGACGCGGGTGGCGCTGTGGGTAAAACCTCAGTGCCTAGGACTTGCTGATCGCAAGGTCGGCGGTTCGAATCCCCGCGGCAGGGTGAGCTCCCGTCGTTCGGTCCCAGCTCCTGCCCACCTAGCAGTTCGAAAGCACCCCTAAGTGCAAGTAGATAAATAGGTACCGCTTACCAGCGGGAAGGTAAACGGCGTTTCCGTGTGCTGCGCTGGTGCTGGCTCGCCAGATGCCGCTTAGTCACGCTGGCCACGTGACCCGGAAGTGTCTCCGGACAGCGCTGGCTCCCGACCTCTTGAGCGAGATGAGCGCGCAACCCTAGAGTCGGACACGACTGGCCTGTACGGGCAGGGGTACCTTTACCTTTACGGTATTACGTAGATGATATATATGCATGAATTAGTCATCTGTAAGAAGTCTTTGTAGCCTGTTCTGTAAACATATTAGAGTTTATGAAAGCTAAGAATGAGTAGGAATAGTAGGCTAGAATGCAGCTTACTGCACCAGGGGAAAAGTCACATCAACTGTTCCACCCATTTTTGCCTTTGGCCCTGCTCACCACCAGCATGCAGTCCCTGGAAGGTTTTCTACAAAGGAACGCAGCCCTCACGCTGAAAAATACTCTCCACCCTTGAAGTACAGGCAACATAATGTGGGACATACCCAAGCAATATATGTATCTGTATTGTAATAGAGAACATGAAGCCTCCTTTGTCTGGAGTTCTCTGAACCCCTTAAGTGTCCAGGTAGGCATTCTGGACATCCAAACCCAGAGTGTCACCATTAAGGCCATACTAGGAAGTGATGCAATTATGACTTCAGGTATAGATATATTGTATTTACTAATCTAGGTCAAACACATTTAAATCAATGGAACAATTCACAACTTGTTTAATTTGAACACTGCCATTCATCCGAAGATCACAGGGCAGTTCACAACATAAAAACACAAAATTGGGTTGTACTCAGTGAAGTTGTCCTGCTGGTGCAATGACTTTCACTTGTGCAACAGAAGTTCCACCACACCTGCTCTCTACCGCACCCCCCACAAAATCTGTGCTGGAGGGTCAGGGAAACTCCCAGAACAGATTTGGGGGACACCCAGGGAGAGGAGCAGGAAGAGAAGTCCCGCTGCACACACATAAGTCCTTGCACTGATGCAACACCTTTGTTGGCTACAACTCATTATCTTAAGGTGCTTCATTTTGCTT